TTTTAAAAAAGAAGAAAGATATAAAACGCAATATAAAAGCTATAGCAAAGCAAATGGCGGAATTACAGACTTACGCTATACAATCTAACGAAGGGCTACGACGAAGCGCTTTAGCGTACTCGTCCTTAATTTATCAATCGCTACGCAATACGCTAGTCATACAAGAAGAGCTAAAATCACTTTAGCAGCCCTTAAACCCCTTTCTCAAAGGCTATAGCCGAATTTTCGAAAAGCTAAGACCGAGTAGCAACAAAAACGGTCTTAAGATCATTATAAGATTAAACAACGAACGAAGCCACGAGAGCTACACGCCAAAAGAAGACCTACCAAAACCTAAGAGCATTCCGAGCAAAATCAGCTCTTACTAAAGACAGCGTACAGATTTCCGTGCTTAACCTTAGCAACTCGAAAAAAGGATCTAGCACTTTCGAACGTACCGACAAGCTCTTTAAATCTTTTAACAAGCTACGTATCGATAAAAAAGATATTAAAAGTACGATAATCGTTAAGAGCGTGCTTAAAAGTACGGATATCACTAAGTTAAAGTTTTAGCCGGTGATCCGAATAGCTTTAACGGTCTTAACGATAACCGACGAAAAAAGAACGGAAAAGATTAGCAAAGAAATCGAAGCTACGAGTACGGAAAAAGTAAAAATAAACCTTTTAAACTATTAAAAAGATTCGGAAACAAACCTTTAAAAGACCCCGGATCCGGAAATAAGCTTTTTAAGGACTTTAAAAAAAGACGGACTACTAGTAACTATATCGGTAACCTTTTACCGATCAAACTATTAGTTAAGCAAAGCACACTTGCGTATAGCATTCTAAGTGCTCTTAACGATAATAAAAACGATTTCTTTAAGCTCGAAGCAGCAGACCTTTACTTAAAAGCGAAGGAATTAGCTTTATTCGCGCGAAGTTTTCTTAAAAAGCTAAAGTATTCAAGACCCGACGATGACTTCAAGACTTAATTAAAGATTTTTGCTAATTAAGCAAATCGATACGGTTTAATCTCCGACGACTACTTAACGGCGTTCTCGATTATGCTTACAAAAAAAGCTATAACCTTTTATTATAATTACGTTATCAAAGCTAGGCTTCCGACTTTTAAAGCGAACGCTATTGCAATAAAAAACCACTTCGAAACTAATCACCGGCGGTAAGCAAAATACAACCGCTAAAAAGAAATTTCGCTAGATTTAATTAAAAAAAAGAATCTAAAGACCTCGCTTAACGAGTGCTTTAAAAAGCTCGCTAAAGAGCTCAAAAAGATTCAAAGCTCTTTACGACCAAGTTTAAAAGATAATCGGAGCTTTGCTAACAAGCTGTATTCAGCTTATAAAAACGTACTAAAAACGACTATTGCGCGGATGAATCTTGCTTTTACTTTTACCGCCGCAATTGCCGATATCCGCCGAGCAATTGCATTTGCAATTAAGACCTCACGACCTTTCGCTAAAGCTAAAGCTTACGCGAGCTCTAGCGAGCCACACGATCACACCTGCTTTTAGCACGCCTTAAAAGCTAACTCCGATTTAAACGAAGAATACGAATGCTTTATTTAAAACCGTTAATATTTCGGAGGTAAAAAAGCTATTAAAGCTACTAAAAGTAAGAAAAGGTGTTTTATTTATAAAAAGCCAAGTTGCTAAAGCACTAACTACACCTTCGACGAGCGCAAAGCTTCCGTAACCAAGTTCTAAAGCTTTAAAGACGCAAAAAAAGTGACGAAAAGCAAATTCTTTTAATACGTAGCGTCGATCGAAAGCTTGCTACTTGTATTTACAAAAGAATTCGATCAGTTCATCGCAAGCTTATTAAACGAGCTACTCGAATCGAGCAACTACGCTAATATATCGAAAAGTTTTATAATTACTTACGACACCTTTAACGCTAACGAAGTATATAAACAACTAAAGATTCAAACGGCATTCTACGCTTTTACTAGCTAAATCGAGACTTAAAACGTGCCCGCGAGCAAAGCAAAGACTTACATAGCTTTTAAGTACTTTAAAAACGTGTTCATAAGCTTTATAATTAATAGCGAAGCAGCTAATTTCTTTACCGCTAGCTTGCCTTAATTGCGAGCACTTTAAAAGAAATACCTCGAGGTCCAATTAAATATATCTCGAGCAAAAGAGAAGTCCGTTAAATACGGCATCGGCTCCGCTACTTCTATTAAAGCAGTTACTTTAGAAACACTTTTAAGCCAAGTGGAGTTCTACGTTATAAAAAGCGACGTACCTTTTTTATTCTTATTAGCTAACATAAATAAGCACAAAGTGATCTTAAATAACTTGCGGAACGTATTAATCTAAAGGAAAAAGGAAATACTAATAGTAAAGATGTTTAAGCACGTGTAAATACTATTAAGTAAAGAGTACGCTGCTACTTACTACAGCACCGAGAGCGAGACCGTCTACTATTACTTTACGGAAAAGCAATTAAAGACCATTTACAAGCGTTTTAGCCACTTTTCAGCAAGTCGATTTGCTGCTGTTCTTAAAAAGGCCGAGCACGAATTCAAGCGGGATTTGCTTTACAATATCTAAAAGTTTTGCTACTATTGCTAAGTATTCGAACGCTCTTCGAAGAGGTTTAATATCAAGCTTAAAAATAATACTAACTTTAATAACACAATATGCGTCGATGTAATACACTTTAACAGCAAAAACGTATTATACGTTATCTACGATTTTATTAATTTTTAAGCCGCTACCTTCTTCAAAAGCATGTCCGCATAACACTTATTTAAAAGATTTAATCGATGTTAAGTTAATACTTACGTCGGACCTTTTACAAACGTCGTGCACGATCTCGGAACTAACTTTAATTCGGCAACGTTCCGAGATTATTTTAAAAGTATTAGCAACACTTTAAAGCAAATGCTTATAGAAGCTTATCATAACGTCGAGCTAGTAAAACGCTACTACGTCTTTGTGCGACGCGCTTTTAAGATCGTTATAAAAGAGCTTCTTAAGGCCTTAAAAGAAGATCGGCTTTAAATAGCTATCAAAGCTATCAACGATACAGCGGGACTTAATAGCTTAGTTCTTATACTCTTCGTTTTTAAAACCTTACTAAAGCTAACGGAACAAGATCGATCTATCGCGTTTACTTAAAAGCGTGCTGCTGCTATCAACAAAGCTATAAAAGAAGTACGAAAATGCTACGCCGCGAAGCAAGTTAAAGACGCGCTTAAGAAAAAAAATAAACCAATTACGAAGCATACCTTAAACCTCTTTATTAGTTCACGAGTACTCGTATAGCGAGAAAATCAAAGGTAAAAAGGCCCTTTTCAGCTGCTTAGCAAGCAAAGGCATACGTGCATAATAACATGTTTAAAACCTACGGAATTCAAGTTAACTTTAGTAAAACCTTACTACTTTAAAGTTGAAAAGCTGCTAAAAGAATTGCAAATACTTAAAGTAAAAGTAGAAGAAGATCAAAGCGAAGGTTAAAGCGAAGGCGAAAAAGAGCTAGAACTACGAAATTCGCTTAAACCTTAACATTCGCTTAATCCACCGAAGTCGCTTAATCTAAAAAGCTCGCTAAGATTAGCAAACAAACCCTTTAACCCTCAACTTGCTAATTCTTAAAGATCAACAATACTGATAATCTAAATACTTTACTAGAAGTACGATCTTAGTATCTTGACCGTGCCCGACGAAAAAAAAAGCGATTCTTACGTTTTATTTACTAAGGACTCCGAAGTATTAGTTACCGATAAAGAACGCCGGGACTATAAGCTCTTAGCTAAGCTACGAGCCGAAAGAATCATTAAGAGCTTTAAAGCATTATTTCAAGAGTCTAAAGCAAAAGAATTAACTAGATTAATAGCTTAAAGCATCTTTTAAATGATTCCGAGCACCGATCTACGTGTTAAAAGCGTTAAGATCTTCGGATCTAAGTTTGTTAATAAGATTAAAAGCAAAAAAACACTTACGTTATACGAGAAGTCTCGTATAATAATCTAAGCTTTTCAAGACAAAAGCAAAACGAAAGTACTTATCGAATCACTTATAATGCAACGAGCGGGCTAAAGACTCTATTGTGTTTTAACTCTTTTTTTAATAAAAGACTACGAGTGCTAAGTCTATAATAAAGATATCATATAAGCTTATACTTAATCAAACACGAAGCTTATACGGATAATCGTCGTACGACCGCTTAAAGAGATCACTTATCGATTTCTTTTTAGCACTTTATTCTTTATAACTAGCCTTTTGTACGAAATCCTTAAAGCAAGAACGCATTAATATAAGCGTTTTTCAAAGCATTTCACGGACAACTTCGAAATAAAACAATCGAGCTTTAATTCTTGCTTCTTTGTGTTAATTAATAAAGATCAATTAAGAGTAGCTGCTTTACAAACAGATAATGTTCTTATAATTGTCAATCTAGCTATAAAAGCAAGAAAAGAAAAGGAACTGGTCAAATCTAAGCTAAGAAGCAAAGAAATAAAAATCTTTACATACGCCGAACCGATGATTTTTAATAGATGCAAGCTATTTTTAAATAAAAACGAGTTCGAAGTATTAGTTAGTTAAAAAAAGCAAAGTAAGAGGCTTGCCGTGATCAAGCTCGATTCAACCATACGAGCTAAAGAGTACTTAAAGTAACGTGCCCGAAAAGCGTATTTAATTACTATTTGCTACTTAAAAGCATTTTATGCTTTATCGATAGTTGCTTAATATTAAGAACCGAAAGACGAAGATTACAAAGCCTTTAATAAAGTGATCTAGTAGCTGATCGATTACTTAACTCGAAAGATCTATTACGTGCCTTTAGACTTAACGTCTGCGAAGCTCTTTATATTCGTAAACGAAGCGTTTGCTAACAACGCTAACCTTAGCTTTTAAATCGGTTTCGTAGCTATCTTTAATAATAAAGCTTACGTAAATGAAAACGAGTTCATTTTAACGAGTAACATCCTTTATTAAGTGTCACAGAAGTGTAAAAGAATAACAAAAGCAGTATTAGCTTCTAAATTATACGTTATGTCTTTAAGTATCGATATAGCTATTGTTATATCGATTACTTTTATTCAAATCACAGCTCAGCTAAAGATCTTTAATTTCTTTGTAATAATATGCACTAACTCGTACTCGCTTTACGAATGCATAGTAAAGCTAAGAACTATTAAGGAAAAGCGCCTTATAATCGATATTATAGCTATTCGAGAGTCATACGAGAGGCGAGAGCTCTTTAAGGTACGCTAGATTGGAAGAAAATCTAACCTTGCTAACGCTATGACCAAAATCGGGGCTAATACCTCTTTGCAATAGCTAGTTTTGACCAATACCTTAAAGGTGCAAGTGGATAGATAAGTAGAAAGGCCGTTGTAAAAGAAAGAAAAAGGAGATTGTTTTTTTTCTTTTGTTTGATTACCTTTGTTTAGTTGCCTTCTTTCCTTTTCCGGTCGATATAGTAGTTGGCAAAGCATTGCTTGCTAAAGAGAGAGTTGCCGGTGTCGGTATCTTTATATCGATATTAGCTAGCTAATAGTAGTAATTAAAGAAGCTCACTCGTGAACCATGGTTTACGGGCCACTTAGCATGCCTCGCTTAGCATGTCAGCAGTCAAAGGACCTTTAACTTGACAAGTAGGCTTATTAGTTAGCTAGTGCACGTGATTCCTTCTAATCCTATAGAAGGAATCAACTCCCTTGAGCCTTAAAGAGCAGACAGAATTCAGATACCTTATCAACCGAGTGTTTTGCAATTGCAAGTACTTTGACGACCTTACGAAGTTACGAATATATTCCCAATCGCTTAGAAGCAATCCAACAGTTACTTTCGTTAAGCTAATAGAAATAGATAAACTTAAGCTCGTTTACACCGCGATTTTAAACCGAAACGCTTTACGACCGAAAGACTTACGCAATTTGCTTGTTACGCTATTAAAAGCTTTTAAAACTATACTTAAACTAAAAGCTAAGCTTTTTAAAACTATTAAATCATACGAAAGTTTTAACAAAGTGATCTTTTTTTTAAAAATAAATTCTAAAGCGACTTGTATTAAGCTCTTAAAAAAACGCGATTTGTTTAAAAACTTAACTCTTAATAAAATTATTGCGTTCTTCGCTGCTTTTTTTATTTTTAAACGATCTTTTTTCGAAAGTATAATCGATAAGATGATTTAGCAAACCTTTATTAATAAAAACGCTATTAATTATCTTTAAGCTACGGTTAGCGTTGCGGAGACTTTAAAAGATTGCTTGATTATAAATAGCAAGCTTATATTAAAAGCGACGGATAATACGATAAAAGACGGATTTGCTTTAAAGCTTTAACGACTTATTTAAAAAGAAAATAATACCTTTTTATTTAATAACGATCTATTTTATAAAGTTTCGAGTCGCTTTATCGATAAAGCGCTTTATCGTAAGAATTTACTTTCTTTTTTTTTTTTGCTATTTCGATTTACAACCGAATCACTAATAAAGCAGACTTTATATAAGTTTCTGCTCGATTAAAACGGATCTTATATCGAAATGCTATTACTTAACGGTCTTAACTCGAACGCTTATTCGAATTTTCTTAAATGTTTAAGCTTTAATTGCAAAAAAACATTCGTAATAGCTAAACTAAGCACCGCCGACGCATTACGCTTTTAATATTCGAAGCTCTTTCGATTTAAAAACGGTTTTGCTTTATTTTTATTATCGGTTTTATTTCGACTCTTTTTATAACCGTATTCTACGATGTTTTTTAATTTTAATACTTTTTTCTCGATTAATTTATTCGTAAAAATCGGCGTACTTTATAAACCGCAATCGAAAGTAATACGAAACTTTTTTCGGCGGAAATCGGCTTTGCTTTAACGTTTAACTAATTATTCTTTAAATACTTTTCTTACGAGCGCACCCCCTACGTTTAGCAACCGTGTGCACACCGAGTGAACATCGAGTTAACACTAATCAACCGATTATACACCGATTATAATCGGTGTATATTAAGGTTGATCTTAAGGTTGACGAGTTTTTTGATATATTATTATTTGAATCAACCTTTCAACTTTAATATTAATCTTTACACTTTAATATCAACTTTTAAACTCTAATATTAATCTTTACACCTTAATATCAACTTTTAAATTCTAATATTGATCTTTACACTTTAATATCAACTTTTAAACTTTTATATTAATCTTTACACTTTAATATCAACCTTTACACCTTAATATCAACTTACATTTTAATATCAACTTCTTTTACACTTAATATCAACTTTATCGTAATAAATAAAAGCACGTGCTAAGAGCAAAATACTTTACGTTATCATTATAACTAGCTTATACTTTTAACTTGTATATTTCTCGTACTTCTCTTTGCTTTTTTTATTACATCACCGCCGCTACTAGCTCACCGCCGCCATTACCTTACCGCCGCTACTACCTCACCGCCGCCACTACTTCACTGCCGCCACTACCTCACCGCCGCCACTACCTCACCGCCGCTATTACCTTACCGCCGCTACTACTTTACCGCCGTTATTATATGCTAGAAGCGATACTAGTGG